TCCACCATTAATTGTGAAGTGCTTCCAAAGATAATGTCGTCCACATAAATCTGAACAATGATGATGTTCTTCTCTTTTTCCATGAAAAACAGTGTCTTGTCTACACTTCCCCTTGTGTATCCTCCTTCTACTAGAAAGCTGGTAAGACGCTCATACCATGCTCGAGGTGCCTGCTTGAGACCATACAACGCTTTCTTCAGCTTGTAGACATGTTGCAGATGTGTGTGATCTTCAAAACCCTTTGGCTGCTCCACATAGACCTCCTCTTGCAGGATTCCATTCAAGAAAGCACTCTTTACGTCCATCTGGTATACTTTGAAGTTCAGGATACAAGCCATTCCTAAGAAAAGCCTGATGAACTCAAGACGAGCCACTGGTGCAAATGTTTCTTCAAAGTCTACCCCCTCAACCTGTGAGTACCCTTGTGCGACCAAGCGTGCTTTATTACGAACCACTTCTCCATGCTCATCAGTCTTGTTTTTGAAAATCCATCTAGTTCCCACGACATTTATTCCTTCTGGTCTAGGGACAAGTTCCCACACATCATTCCTTACAAACTGCTCCAGTTCCTCCTCCATTGCCACAATCCAGTACTCGTCACGTAGTGCCTCATTGTGTGTCTTTGGTTCAATGGAAGATACAAAGCAAGCAAACTGGACCATTTCTCGAAAGTTTATCACCTTGCCGCGAGTCTTTCGTCCCTCATCTAACCCTCCAATAACATCGTCAGCAGAATGATTACGATGTACTTGCTGAAGTACTTCAGTTGGTGCATCACCTTCTGATTCAGTGATCTCGGGTACTACCTCTTTCGTTCTGGTCTCTGATGTTTCTGTTTCTTCATCAGATTCATTGTCATCCCAGCTGATCACCGACAGGTCATCAAATACAACATTCACTGACTCCATAACCATGGCAGATCGCTTGTTGAACACTCGATATGCTGTACTAGTTCCTGAATACCCAAGGAAGATGCCCTCATCGCTTCTTGAATCAAACTTACCTAGGTAGTCCTTGTCATTCAAGATATAGCACCTGCAACCAAAGACATGAAAATAACCAAGGTTAGGTGTTTTACCAGTCCACATTTCATAAGGAGTTTTCGTGGTCCCTTTTCTCACATACACCCTATTGATGATGTAACATGCAGTACTCAGTGCCTCAGCCCAGAACCTTTGAGGTATCTTGTTACCATGTATCATC